TCGCAGTCTGGCACAGCACCATCCTGCCCCACCAGATCACCACCACCCCTGAGAGTGGCACGTCTTTAACCTCCCCTGAGGGCCTTCTGGGACAGAGCTGACGCCCAGGGCTATGGAGCACCCTCCTGTGCTTTGCCATCCACCCACGGGCGTTTTGGGGGGCAGTAGGGTCACGCTGAACACCCTCCCCAGCAGGTCACAGTCTGGCACAGCACCATCCTGCCCCACCAGATCACCACCACCCCTGAGACTGGCACGTCTTTAACCCCCCCTGAGGGCCCTCCGGGACAGAGCTGACCCCCAGGGCTATGGAGCACCCTCCCGTGCTTTGCCATCCACCCGTGGGCGTTTTGGGGGGCAGTAGGGTCATCTGTGCTCTGCCTAATGTTTTCCCAGGCAGAGGGTGTTCTGGAAGAGGGACAGCATTTGTTTTCGAAGGCAGCGGGACCTGGATGTGGCTGAGCAGGCGGCCCCCAGAGCCTTCTTGCGCTGCTCCCGGTTCCCTTAGGCTTTACTGGCATTCCAAGATCAAACGCTCAGCAACGTTTTACCGGCTTTGGACAAGAAGAACCGCAGTGCTGTCTCACACTAACAGGGCAGTTCTCAACTCCTGGCACAACCATAGCATCCCCAAATCGCAGGGTGGCTAGTGCCAGCAGGTCTAGAGCCATAAAAATAGGTGGCAGGGACTCCGACCTGCGGTAGCTGACACTGATCTCTTCCCTCTCGGGAACATGCTCCCGTCTCGTAACCCCAAGCGAACAAGCGCTGCATCACCCCAGCTGCGTGCGCTGGGCCCAGCCACGACGCAGTCACCTCCGTGCGCCTTCAGTCTCAGCCAACTGGTTTTGCTTCCACCAGAGCCCGAAGGACAAATCTGCCCCTGGGCTCGGCTTTGCTGTCGTACCGAATTCCTACTGTTTTCCCCTTTTCACGTGCTGTGCAAAGTTAAGAGCACCTCTCAGCAGGCCACTGTCTCAGGAAAACCTGCCTAAAATTAGACTCAATGCAGATTAACGGACCAAACAGAAAAATAGCCCAAGAGCTAAAATTAGAAGTAATCTAATTAGTGTCTTGACAGTGATTTGTAACCGGGAAATTCCCCCTCTCCTTCCCTCCCTCTCCTTCCACCAATGGCTTTCTCCATGGGATTGTGCAACGCCCTTCAGACCCGGAGCAGAGGTTAAGCAGAGGCGGCTGGAATCCGCCTGCACCCAGACGCCAGCAGTGAACTGCCAGAGGAGCTAACCTCGCCAGTTGATCCTTCTCAGGCCTCTTACACCCCGGCGTCACCTACGGACGGCAAACGCTCCCAAACCAGCCCCACGCAGCGCCACACAGACCCTTCTGTTGATTAAGCATCTCTGGGAATCTCGGAAGCCCTTGTCTCTGCCAGGGGGCTTGGGCAAGACTGGGAAGGGTTTGTCCCAGACGCACACCCCGTTCCTTCCTGAGCTGACGAACACCCCAGCGCTGCCCATGTGAACCACTGCTCCAGAGCGGAACCTCGGTAACCCACAGGTGCCTTCCCATCCACCCCACGCCTGACGCCTGGCCTCCCTGCGTACACTGAGCCCCGCCGTGACGCGTGGGGGAAGCTCCTCGGTGCAGCAAGGCTGCTCCTTTGCGTCTTACCTCCTCGGGTCTGCTCAGCACGTGGCCCTCGGGGCCGGTTATTCCCATCTCCAACATCCTGGTTTGCTCCTACGACATCAAAAGGACAGAGGGACGTTAAAAGGCTGGGAAGCTGTCAGCCACCCCAAAAAGCAGATCCCTCCTGTGTCCAGCCCTTCCCTCGGGACTGCCACCACCCCATGTCCCCTGGGACCACGGTACATGGTGAGAGGCTGCTGCACCCTCGAGGGCTTTGAGAGAGAAGGAGGGAGGATGGGGAAACAGGAGTGAAACCTCTTTGCTGAAACAAGCACGGTGTGAAGAAGACAGTGCAAAACTCCCCAGATGCATCAACGGCACGTGATGTTTACAGCCCTTTCCCAAGGCCCTCCCTGGATCCCCTTCTGAAAAGTGAGTAGTCAGAGTCGAAAGTACTGAGAAAACAATCATTAAAGCCAATTAAAAAGTTCTCCTCCCCAGGCTACTTCTGGGTCCCCAGTACTGCCATTTAATCACCCGGGTATCAGCCAGTGCTAACTCCTGTCCTGTATCAAATTCAGCTCTTCCCTCCCAACCTCCACTCCGCTGTTGACCAAGCTCTGGAGAAACCCAGTCCCCTCTGAAATCTCCAGGCACTGACACGGGGAACGGAGAGGACGAAGCCTCTGCCTGCTTCCTGGGAACCACCACCACACGCGTCGCTCCTCCGTGCTGACGGCACGCTGGGCCCACACCAGCCACTGACGCTGCAAGCGTCCTGACAGAGGGAAGCATTCCCAGGGCTGTGGAGTGCCACAAGGAAGGGTTTGGGCCACTCTGTGCTTGGGCTGGGGCTGAAGTAGAGAGAAACTAGCCAAGGCATTTCCTCGGATCGCTCTTTGTTGGCCGGTGAAAGAGCCACCCACTGTGCACTGCAGCTCTACAGGTCCAAAGAAAAACCGATTCCCAGAGTCTGAGAGGACGTTTGGGGAATGACCCCTTAGCTCCCACTCCTTCAACTCCCCAGAACACGTGAGACGGGGAAAAAACAAGTGGCTGCAGAGCATAACTGTGCGAGGTCTTCTCAGTCTTAATGAACATCAAACCACTTGGACTCCCCCTCATCCAGCACCAGCTACAGCACAGGGGGCCAACACAGCCCACCCCCTGAGCCCCAAACCACACCCCTCCTGACATTCCCTTGCCATTCCAGCTCCATTAGCCGGCTGCTTGCTTACGCAGGGGGAAAATTCCTCTCTCGCTGCGGCACTTGGCAATACACTTTAACCCTCAGCTCATTCTGCGCAAGGGGAAGGTCTCTGCCCCGGCGCACCAAGGAGCTGCAGCCAACGTGTCGCACTCTCATCCATGCGGATAATCACTAATTCCCTATTGCGGATTCCCTCAGGCACACACACTGCCGGCAGAGTCTCCGTGAATTCTGCGCAGCAGAACACCTTTCAGGGGACACTCACACAGCTCTGGAGCCACCCTGTGAGTGCCCCACGCGGAATCTGCCCGGGGCAGATCCCCAATCCCCGTACACCCAGGGAAGGGCTAGTTACCTGTGCGATTATATCCCCGTTTTCAGCGTGAACCTGAGCTATGGCGCCCAGCTCTGCCAAGCAGCTGAATATCTCGTACAGCTGAAGAGAGACAAGAAAAGCTGTTACTGAGCGTCCTGCCCACGCACAGCCTGGGCACCCGGCACGGCCTCCAGACCAGGGGGATGCCAGGAGCGGCTCCGGCTGTGCCAGGGGTGCTCCCCCAAGGCTGCGGCCACCGGCGGATGCTCCAGCGATCTCCACGCCAGACCCCTGCCTCCGCTGGCAGCGGGAGGGCCCAGCTGGCCCACAGCAGGGATGCCATGCCCGCGGCCATCCCCTCGCACCAAGGGGGGTGGGTCTCGTTGTTCGACACCTGGTACAAATCCTTGTAGGCCATGTACACCATGAAGGAGTTCACTCCTAGGGGCAGAGCAGAGGAGAGGGGTGATGAGGACTGACAACAGCAGGGTCACCCCTTGCCCTCCTTCCCCTGGGACCACCCCACAGGAACGGGAGGCGGCCCATGGGGGTCCACACGCAGGGAGCGGCGGGCAGCAGACCTTTCTCTTGGACCATGGTGTGCAGCTCCTGCCGGACGCGGTCGCTCCAGCGGGGGATGTCCACGTGCAGCGCGTAGTCGCAGCAGGCCTTCCCGTCGGCCCACTCCCGCCACCGCTCCAACGCCTCTGCCAGGCTGGACTCAGGCTCTGGCACCACATGGTCCACTGCAAAGGCATAAGGGGGTCAGGGTGGGCAGGGGGTCCCTGCCCGGGTCACCCCGCCATGGCCCCGCACACCGCGGGCACCTCCGCCGGCCCAGGGTCATCTCCACAGAAGCTCCAGAGCAGCTCCGGAAAGGTCCCCATCACCTCTGCCCCATGCCCAGGTTTAGATTAGATATCAGGAAGAAATTCTTCACAGAGAGGGTGGGGAGGCACTGGGACAGGTTGCCCAGAGATGTTGTGGATGCCCCATCCCTGGAAGTGTCCAAGGCCAGGCTGGATGAGGCTTTGAGCAACCTGGTCTAGTGGAAGGTGTCCCTGCCCATGGCAGGGGGGTTGGAACTAGATGGTCTTTAAGGTCCCTTCCAACCCAAACCATTCTATGATTCTATGATTCTATGCCCTGCTCCTCCAAGGGCATTTATCCACAGGGAAGCACACGGAGCCTGGGCTTAGCAGCTTCTGGCATGGGACCAGGGGCTTTCACAGGCTTCTGCCGGGAAGTCAGCTGAAAGGCCTTGCCCTCCCTCACCCCCTTCCCCTCCATTAACACGCAGCCTCCTCCCACGCCGCCTTTTATTGCCGAGCGCCTAATCCCCGTGCGCTGCCACAGCCCACTTCACACAACTTATTTCTTTGGCCCACGGGGCAAGAAGAACTGGGGGGCAGGGAGGGCAAGAAGCCCAGTCCTTGACTGGAAGGACCAGCAGCTGCTCCCGCAGCCCAACGAACCCGGGAGCGCACCGAGCCGTGCCCGCTGCACAGCAGCCAACCAGCGCACAACTTTGCCTTCTCCAGGGAAGGGCCTCAGAATTCCCCGGCCTTTTTTGTCAGCACTGTTTACTTCCGAGCAGCGCGGGATGCCAGGACACGGCTCTGTTCCTCTGCTCAGAGTCATCTGAGCATCACGCTGCCCTGGTCTTATTTAACAGGGGAAAAAACGTGGCGCCATTGTTCCTTTCTGAGGGTCCCGGGGGCACCAGTGGCTGCGGGCAACGAGGCTCCGCAGAACCCGGGATGTGCGAGGACAAGGGGTCCTGTGTAAACCCCCTCTCCCACCACTTCATTAGCACAAACGATCCCGAAGGATCTCACTCTCTAGACTGTGCTGGCAGCGATCATGGAAAAGATGAGCAGGCTGTCAGGGACCTTTGAAACAAAGACTGAGAAAATCAGAGAGAAAGCAACCACGGGGCAACGTGCGAGAGCGCTGGCGCTGCCGTGTATGGGACCCGCTGCGGCACTCACTGATCATGGTAGTTCCTCCGGCCAGAGCTGCTTTCGTTCCTTGGAAGAAATCGTCCACAGCCGTCATCCCCTTGTATGGCATCTGCAGGCGAGTGTGGACATCGATTCCGCCAGGGATCACCATCTTCCCATTGGCTTCTATGGTTT